TATGAGATGTTTAGTGGGGAAAGAATGGGGGGCTGAGAGGATGGCTCTAAGAAGTATATATACAGGATTGATACGATCTGTATTTGATTATGGGAGTATAGTGTATCAGTCTGCTGCTAATAGTGTGTTTAAAAGAGGTGGACAAAATCCAGTACAAGGCATTAAGATTATGTACTGGAGCGATGAGATCTACACCAACTGCTTGCTTGCAGATTGAAATGGGAGAAATGCCTTTAGATCTTAGAAGAATTGAACTGTCACTAAGATATTGGGTCAATATATTAGGACATAGTCAAGAACACCCAGCTAGGGTAGTTCTAAAACCTTTCTGGGAAAAAGGAAAGAAAGAAATCAAAAGTTTTGGATGGGAGGTGCCTAGAGTGGTAAAAGAAATGGAAATTGGTGAAACTCCAATAAGCCCAACAATCCCTCTGTGGTTAATATCTCAAGCTACGGTAGATATGACATTGCTAAGTGAGGACAATAAGGATAAGTTCAAATCAAATGTTCAAATAGCACACAAGTACATTCATGAAAATTATTATGGTTATGTTCAAATATATTCTGATGCATCGAAAAATATGGAAGACAAAGTAGGTGTGGCATTCAGTATCCCAGAATTTAATGTCAAAGTCAGTAAAAGAATCACAGATAATTTGTCAATTTACACAAATGGTGAAATGATTGCAATTGTACTGGCATTGCAACGGGTGGAGGAAAATAAGCCAATGCAGACACTCATATGTTCTGATTCAAGTTCATCTGTAATTACAATTAAAACATGTCATTCAGAGAGCAGAGCAGATATAATGATTGAGATTCTTCAAACAATATATAGGATCCAGATGATGGGAATTTCTGTAGCTTTCTGTTGGGTACCAGCGCATGTGGGAGTGAAAGGAAATGAGTTAGCAGACGAATATGCAAAGGAAGCAACAAAGAAAGTAGACATAGATATGCAGATAAAGTACGGTAAGAGTGAAATGAAGTGTGTAATCAAGCAACATGTGATGAAATGAAGTGTTTAATCAAGCAACATGTGAAGAATAGATGGCAGAAATATTGGGAAGAAGAAAGAACAGGGAGATGGTTTTATAGCATTCAAAGAAGTGTTGGTAAGTACAGAGTAACAGGAAGAAATAGACATTAGGAAACTGTAAACTCAAGGCTTAGATTAGGCCATACTGCTCTTAATAGCAGTTTGAAGAAAATGGGGAGACATGAAACTGGAAAATGTGAATATTGTAATATGGAGGAAAATGTAGAGCATGTTATAATGAAGTGTCCAAGATACGGAAAGGAAAGAAAGATACTGATTGATGTCCTCAAGGAAAATAAAGAAAAACTTAATTTGATGAACATTTTGGGGAATAAATCAGGGGATAAAAACTTTCAATTTTTAATGCGTTATTTAAAGGACACGGGATTATATAATAGAATTTAGTGAAGAGTACGGTCCTGATCCACACTCCTAATCAGTAGGTGGCGGTAATGCACCTAAAAGTTGTATGCCATCCGCCATTAAACACCAAGAAGAAGAAGAAGAATCAGCGGCGTTGCGTCTGATCACGTGCACGTGACGCTGCGCGAGAAGCTGGTCGGTTTTATTTTGTCAGCGCCGCCATTAAATCCGCATCCAAATCAACATTCAGAGATTAGAAACAGTATTCATCGACATAAAAACGCCGTTCAACGACTGATATAAAGCCCGGAGATTAAACGACACAATGGAGGTCGAATAACAACGATAAAGACAGACTGAGGTGATTTAAGTCTCTTTCATGAGGAGCTGCGCGCTGAGCGATGTGAGTATTTACATTCTTCAGCAGTAATATGTGTCTGTCAGAGTATTAATGTGATTTATTTATATGGTAGGGTGAATGGTGAGAGGGACAAGTGTCAATAAGAACATTAACACTGTCAGTGCTGCGAGATATTAGTAATAACATCTGTACTGTGACATATGGGTGTCAGTAAATAATAACCCTCAGTGCTGTGACTAATAACATTAATATTGTCAGTACTGTGAGATGCGAGTATCACAAATAACATTAATACTGTGAGATATGAGTATTACAAATAACATTAATACTGTGAGATATGAGTATTACAAATAACATTAATACTGTGAGATATGAGTATCACTAATAACATTAATACTGTGAGATATGAGTATTACAAATAACATTAATACTGTGAGATATGAGTATCACAAATAACGTTAATACTGTGAGATGCGAGTATCACTAATAACGTTAATACTGTGAGATATGAGTATCACTAATAATGCATGATACAGTAAAATATGTGTATAACTAATAACATTAATGCTGTGAAATATGAGTATTACAAATAACATTAATACTGTGAGATGCTAGTATCACTCTCCAATAACATTAATACTATCAGTTACAAATATGACTAATAACATTAATACTATCCGTACTGTGGGAGTTAATAATATTAATACTGTCAGTTCTGTCATATATGAGTGTCAATAACAATATTAATCCTGTCAGTGCTGTGAAATACTAACTGACATAATGCTACTGTCAACACTCATGTTATATCACTGACATTATAATTGGTAGTATTTTTGGAAGTATTGAAGACTAGAGTATTAAAGATAGAAAGTTGTGAGTCTTGGATGTTCTGTATTTCTGACATATCTCATTTTATTTTGTGATTGTAGATTGCTGTCTCCGTGTCAATGTGTGAGCCTGATGTAAGTGTGTGTTGTTGAGTGTGTGTGTGTGCTGATCCATCATGACAGAGCTGTGTGTGAAGTGGTTGTGTGAGTACTGCACATATGAAAACTGGCCGTCTGCTATTAAGTGCACCATGTGCCGAGCGCAGCGGCCCAGCGGAACCATCATAACAGAGGAACTGTTCCCGAGTGGCGCCGGACACCGGTGTGACCCCGTGTGCAACGACAGCCTGCTCATCTGCCCCGATTCCAGCGCCCGGCCCCGCGTCCGCCCGGCCCAGTCCTCCGAGCACAGCGGCAAATGGTCGTGTCAGGTGTGCACTTACCTGAACTGGCCCAGAGCGATCCGCTGCACCCAGTGCCGCAGTGTCCGGCAGCGTGTCTGCAGCCCCACAGAAACCCCGCAGACGTCCGGAACCGGCCCTCCAGCGGATCCGTGTGAGGAATACAACAACCGGAACCGACTCCACACGCGAGCGCAGTGCTGGACCTGCTCGGTCTGCTCATATGAGAACTGGCCCAAATCCTCTCGCTGCGTGGTGTGTGACCACCCCAGACCCAACGACGCCTTCCAGCCGCGCGAGTCTGACGAGCCCTCGTCCGTGATTAACGAGCGGGACCGTGGCCGAGCGCGGGGCGTGTGCAGCGGGGCGCAGCGACTCTCGCCTGCCTCCTCTAAACGTGAGGCGGAGCTGCAGATCGAGCTGGCCGCTGGAGCTCAGAGCGGGAACGAGGAGATCGAGGTGGACTTCAAGAAGCTCAAACAGATCAAGAACCGCATGAGGAAGACAGACTGGCTGTTTCTCAACGCCTGCGCTGGTGAGTGCCTCTTTACTCGCTCTCAGGGGCCTCCTAAGGTGTCTTTATACACTCATGGCTGCTCTGTGCCAGCTCAGAATTCAGTGTTAAGACATAATGCTGCGTAAAAGCCAGAGAAAATGATGCCTGCTCTGACCCACATCACAGTACACATTGTGTAAATGCATTCATGCAGTCTCTGAGCAGCATGTGTAAAGACACTTAAATGCCACGTCAGAAGCGCTTCTGTGCCATCTTTGTAGTGTAGGTTTGGCATTAGTCTCGTATAGCCAGACTTTTGTGTTAATCAGTGTAAACTCTGGTCCACTGTGGAGTTTATTCTGCTGAAGAAATGTCGCATGCTAGTTCACTTGTGGCAGATTATAGTCATGCAAGCACAGCTCCTGTCTATGTGAATGAGGAAAGAGTGAAACGCTTGGCAAGATTGTTTCAATAATAGATTTTGATGAAGGAATAATTGATTAATAATTCTCAGGAAATAGGTGGTGATGTAGCCGTTACACCTTGGGTGTGCCTTATTTTCTAATAATTCAAATACCTGTTGTAAGCGAAGTGATATGGACATGTGATGCGGTCAAGACCTGCCTGGAACTACTTTAGCCGTGTGTTTCCCTGAAAATAATTGCACACCTTAGAACATTCATCAGCCAATCAGATTCAAGCGTTCAACGGCCCCGTAGTATGAATTATCAATAAGGTTTGGTTAGATCTTTAAAAAGTAAGCATGCAACACAAAGTGAATCCTTCACATGACACTCGGAATCCAGACTGTCAATGATTTGATACAATCACAAACTTTTTCTTGGGCATGATTTTGTGTTTCCGGATGCTCTGGACACAACAAACGTGTGGAAGATGTCTTCTGTGTTGCTGTGTTCTGTTTGAGCTACAGGAATGCTTTATTCATTATCCTTTACTATTAAAAATTCATAATGTGTAATTTTAATTGTTGAAGTTCAATAATTGTGTGTAGTTACCATTATCAATAAAAACAAATAGAACAAATATTAATTATTGTTACTCATAAATGTATATATTAGACAATTAAACACACTCATCATCTGAATGGGTTGTTAAAATCTTTCAGATTAGTCATTCCATCAGCTGTAAACACTGATATGATTCAGACACTTATAAATAACATGCAGCAGATCAACAAGTAAACGCACTCGTGTGACTGTGACCTTTACACGGTTTCAGAAGCGTCCAAACGCTGCGAGTGTGTGTCAGTGCTTTCGTGTTCTGGGTCAGTCTGGCATGCGGAGATCTTCAGACAGCTGATGTCTCGAGACCGTGAGCAGCACATGGAACGACCACGTCAGATCACTTTAGAACACGTTAACCACCGAACAAATCGGCATGCCTGATTAATAATCGTATGAACTGTTTCCTGATCCACACGTGCGCAGCGGTTCAACTCATGTGTCACGTTTGGAGAAGCTCTCCTGATGTAGACTGTGTGTGTTTCTTCACTGAAAACACGAGCAGCCGGTTACTATAAATCATGACAGTGTGGTGTAACACGTGTGAGAGCTAACCCGCTGCGCTCGTGTGTGTGTGTGTGTGTGTGTGTGCAGGTGTAGTCGAAGGCGATCTGTCTGCGGTGGAGGCCTACAAGTCCTCAGGAGGAGACATCGAGCGTCAGCTGACCTCCGACGAGGTGCGTCTGCTCAATCGACCCTCAGCGTTCGACAGCGGCTTCACTCTCGTTCACCTCGCCATCCGCTTCCAGAGACAGGACATGCTGGCCATTCTGCTGACGGAGGTGTGTGTGTGAGTGTGTGAGAGTGTGTGGTGTGTGAGAGTGTGTGTGAGTGAGTGTGTGTGTGTGAGTGTGAGTGTGTGTGTGTGTGAGAGAAAGAGAGTGTGTGTGTGTGTGTGAGAGTGTGTGTGTGTGTGTGTGCTGCTATCTGATTGGGTGATGACTGAGCTTGTGCTGCTCTGATGATGTGGAAGTGCGTCTGAAGTCTTGTGTTTGGTCGCAGGTTTCCCAGCAAGCCGTCAAATGCATCCCAGCGATGGTTTGTCCTGAACTGACGGAGCAGATCCGCAGAGAGATCAGTGCATCGCTGCACCAGCGCAAGGGAGACTTCAACTGCTACTTCCTGACAGACCTCGTCACATTCACCCTGCCGGCAGGTGAGACAAACACA